TAAATATGTCTTGATCAAGGTTATTCAACTGAGGATTAAAATGGTAGTTGGATGTGGTTCTGTGGGTTAATGTGCTGGATGGCAAGGTTGGTTTGAACTGCAAAGTTGGCAGTTCACACTTCAACAGCCACTCCTCAGAAACCATATACAGGGTTTCTGTTGGTCAGAACCAACTCAACAGCACTTAACAACATCATATTTCTAGTTGCTGTCTCTATTAATATTCCAGGACCACTAACTCACAAAGTCATTATGAGTAAATTGTGTTTTATAAGTCTAGGATAGCAAATGCTCATGTCTTTGGAAAAGGGGAATTCTTGACTTTTCCTTATACCAGTCCATTATAAGACTTCACTCTGTTACCATGTAAGGAGCCTTGGTAGTATAGTGAATTACACATTAGGCTACTGGCCTCATGATCAGCAGTTCTAGTCTACCAGGTACTCTATGGGGTTGCTATGAGTCTGACAGCTCACAGACAGTCAGACAGCCAGAGTTACTATGTGTCCTTGTCTGTAGCCTCCCTCTGTGCTCAACTACATGCTGTGTATTCATCCTGTAAAGATACTGACATAACTTCTGAGCGAACAATTTAAAGTTCTCTGAAAACCTCTAAAATCAGTAGGTCAACTTACTCTGTCTTTTACTACTGAGTTTAATCACTGACACATTTTATTATGTATAATTGATAGAGGTTGAGACCATGCCAACTCATGGGAAGATATCGCTGCCATTAAAATTCTTGGGAAGAGTGTAGACAATAGGTTTGTTAACATTATGGGTACTTTTCTGCCTGTACTTTCCTTCCTTCCTTAGGTATCCAGTAAGACTAGAGACTTGAATGTGACTCAGCACTAAAGAGTCAGGATGGACTTTCATCTGCACAGAATTTGGATAATATGTCTACATTGATTTGGCCATGTACATATATATCCTGAGTGTATGATCAGGATCAAAATAGAAGGTTCTGGTGATAGTTAAAGAAAAATAAAGGAAAAAATTCAAAATCATAAAAAGATCTGGCATAATTGTCTGATAGAGATTGGTGAAACCTTTGAGACTATACCTCTTGTTGTTATTATTGTTAAGTGCTGTTGAGTTGATTCTGGCCCATACGACCCTCTATAGGGTTTCCAAGGAGCAGCTGGTGAGCTTGAACTGCCAACCTTGTAGGTCAAATGGCTTTGCAGTTTGGCGTATTAACCCAGAGCACCATACTAGGACTCCTCTTGACAACCTTAAAACAAATTGAACATACTCCTGGGGGAAATCTTTCAGCCAAATGATAGATCAACCTATAAAGTAAACAATAATGTATGTGAGGAATATGCCAGAACAATCAACCATACAAGACCAAAAAACCCTCCAAAACAACAACTTTGCACAAGTAAGGGCAGAACATGAATGCTCCAAAATGACCACACTTCTTAGGATACAGCAGACCTGAGGGACACAGAGAAACTTTGTAGATGGACTATCTAGACTGTGAAAATGGAACCACAGCTGTAGGGAGAGAGTGTGAATTGGATGTCACTGGCTACTACAAGGGTATGGCTAGGGTGTGTGACAAAAGTAACAAGGTCAATGTGTTCCCTTAGGATTTTGATCTCAGCTGTATAAAAGTTCCGAAGGTTGATACAGTCTTCTAGAGAAATAGGTCTCTGCTGCATGTAACAGTTTGCAGATTCTAGAAGATATCACAAAAGGGGTCCCTGTATCAGCCCATAGCTTCCTTACTCCACTTGGGAAAGCTTAATTTAAGCTGATGAGCTGGCCCATGTACATGCAATACACAAGCAATATCAGAACAGGTGGCCAAGTGGTTGCACAGAATTATAGGGCAAACAGAGTATAAAGACACTATGGGAAGGATTCGGGCACCTAGGGTGGAGGTACACTGAAGTTCACCATCAGCCATACCAGAGAATACCAGGCAAAACAGAACCAGGGCAGAGCTCCAAAACTCGAAACCACAGAACTAGGACTATTTTAAAAGTTTGAAGGCTTATAGCTACTGGAACTTGAAGCTGAAGTAAGAAATTGCGTACTTTTGAAGGAGTTGACATCTTGGGCAAGACCAAATGGCAAGACCAAGTGGGGGAGCAGAAACAACATGGAAAAATACCACAGGAACCTGACAGCAAAGGTGGAAAATACACTTTGTTGGTTTTGCTTTGTTCTGATATTCTTTTTTGGGGGGGGCATGGGTATCTAATCTTTGGCAACCCCACTGTTTGCGCACCTCAATTCTGGTGACTAGAGGAGGGGCTTCAGCGAGTGGGTACCCCACATTCTCACTACTGGTGGGTTCTTTGGCCACGTATGTGCACAGATACTCAGCTCAAGATCAGGCACTGGAGATTTTTTTGCATTTTGTATATTTTTTAAATACGGGAAAGGGCAGGACATAGCTGTAGAGAGGAAAAGAGAGTTTAAAAACAAAAGAGGCCAAAAATTAATAGTAAAGCCTGAGCTACAGCATAACAACCAACAGTTGCATCCTGAAATCTCTCAGGCAGCTTTGAAAGCAAGAAGCTGAAGACAGGACATTAAATTCATACTCATATTAAGCTAGAGATTTTTTTTTTTTCTTCTCTCCATCCTCTCCCTGTTCTGTGATTAGAGACTGCAGTATTCAGCCTAGCTTTTATTTCTTGTTTTTTGCAGGTGCTGTTTTGCTGTTTTATGCTCCCCCTTATATCTTTTGGGGACTCTTTCTCTCCCTATATTACCTGAGAAGAGTCAGCAAATGCTGCCATATAGCCAAGCTAAAATCACACTCTATAAAACACCAAAACCCAGGCAAGAACGAATACCAACTGCTATATACCAGGGAGGCGGGCAACACCTATGAAAGTTACCTTGAGTTAAGCAATAAGAAGAGTGAAAGGAAAGCCCACATACTGATTACATCATCCTGGAAGCAAACATAAAGCATAAAAAATATCAAAACACATACTCAATTAAGTACTAAGATCACAGCTAAACATTAAACATGTCCAAGAAGCAAAAGCAGATGACCATATCAGCATATGTCCAGAAACAAACAAACAAAAAAATTGTCTGAGACAAATGACCTAGAGGTAGACCTGGACTCCATTCTGGAATGAGAGCAGGCATTAGAAATGCCTGAGAAGGAGTTCAGAAAAATGTTTATAAAATGTTTCAAACCACTTTACAATGGAGTTGAGAAAAATAAGGAAGAAGTCAGGAAAGCGCTACAGGAACAATTAAATTACATAGATACAGCATTGGAAACAATTCAAAACCCACAAAAAGACATTCAAATGATCAATAATAGAATACCAGAAATAGACAATACTCTGAAAGGGCAAAGGAGTACAAACGTGAGATGGGAGGTAGAACCAGTGATCTGGAAGACAAATCTTTCAATACCACTAAGACAGAAGAACAAACAAACAAACAAAAAAAGGATAAAAAATCTGAAGAAGATCTAAAGTTCATGTTGGATAACATGGAGAGGTATAATTTAAGAATTATTGGCATTCCAGAAGAAGAAAAATCACAGAAGTCCACAGAGGAAATTGTTGAAGAACTGATGGAAGATAATTTCCCTAACATCCTGAAAAGTGAAAAGATAAACATTCAAGAAGCCCAAAAACCCCCAGGAAGGATAGACTTCCCCCCCCCCCCCCCCCCAAAAAAAAAAAAAAATCACTGAGAAATATCATAATCAAACTCTCCAAAATCAAAGATAAGGAGACACTCCTGAAAGAAGCTAGGGAAGA